CTTTCAGTCACAGCCGGTATATCTTTTGAATATCTAGAGTACCTTACAGAATACGACATAGAATACCCTACAGAATACCTTATGGAACACATAGAACCCTCTACATATCGTACGCCTCATGGAAGACCGTCTGGAATACTCTATAGAAGACCTTACAGAATGCCCCTATGGCCCTATATATGACAGTCCATGTATACAGTATATATACCTTGAACACATACAACACCGCACGCATCATATCTTATAGGATGTCTGTAAAATACTTTCTCTATGTATCTTGAAACCTTTCATATGGAATGCACTGATATAGAATACCCTCATGCGTTATTGAATACCCTAGAGCCTCTAGAATACCTTATCATATACTTTCAGTCACAGCCGTATATCTTTTGAATATCCAGAGTACCTTACAGAATACGACATAGAGTACCCTACAGAATATATGTCGTGCGCCTCATGGAAGACCGTCTGGAATACTCTATAGAAGACCTTACAGAATGCCCATATGGCCCTATACATCACAGTCCTTGTATACAGTATATATACCCTGAACCCATATAACACTTAGTGGCTCAAAACCAAACTTTTCAACTCTTGGCCCCTAATAAGGTAATCTTATTGCGAGAAATTAAACTTTTTACACCCCCATAGGTATTTGGGAAGTAAGAATACCTATAGATAACCTTTCAACGAGCCCAAGATCTGAGAACCCCTCATAAAGAAGCAGCCTATTGGGTAAGGGATTTCTAGGAGTGATCCAAGAGTCGAAGAGAATAACCTTAAGAATGCCACAAACCTCAAAAGAATTTCGTGCAGGTGACCCTTGGTAATACGTTATAGAAAACCCCCTATATACCTCATATATACCTTCTTGAGTACCCTATAGCCGTATAGCCTGTACATTAGGTTAAAGAATACGTTCTATAAGATAATCTTTACGTTCATGTTGATGCCTTGTACAACCCCTTATACAATGCGTTATGGAGTACCCGATAGAGAGCCCAAAACAACGTTACATACTAGGCCTTTCATAGGCCTTGTAGAATATCATCTGCAATCCCCTACAGACTAGCTTACAGAATATACACAATGTCTATGATACCCTCTGAGTACCCCATAGGAAGTCCTAAAGATGACCCTATGGAATATTCTATAACATACCCGTAAAATGCACCATAGAATGCCTTGTAGAATACTTTATAGATAACGGGCTAATGGGAGGAAAATCAGGAGCAGGATGCTCTGCACTATACCTGCTATGTGCCCAATGAAGAAATCAAAAACAAGAGCATATAGAACACCTTACACGATAATCCTTCTTTACATCTTAAAGAATTTCATATAGATACCCATAGATTATAGAAACCTTTTATACCTTTATGAATCTTGTTGAATACCCGCTGGTGATTTCGCCAATATTTACAGACCAAAGAATGAACGCTCAGCTTGACAAAGATGTTCTCCACCACTTGCCATCATTTTGAAAAACCGCTCACCAACACGAAGCACTCGAGATCCTGGTAAAAATGTTCGGCACATAAAGCACAAGCTTCATGAACAAGTGACATAAGGAAAAAACATTACAACAAAGCTTTAAAGATGCGAACAGGTGCCATCGGGTAGGTAGCCGACAAACAGTTCGTTTTTTGTAGGATCTGTAGGCACGGCTTGGTTCTGAGCTTCTTCACTCTAGAATATGTGCTCTTTTTAGGAAGCATTATGAGCATCAGCATCGTGTAAACAAGTTGAACTCAGACACAACGTGTAAAGTCTCAAATCTCTGCGATCATCTCGTCGGGAAGCGACGACGCGCGCTCAAACACCGCATCCGTATGGCCCGATCGAGAATACAGAACGCGGAATGTGCAAACTGAGCACTTGGCTTCAAACAGCTTCAGACAGTGTGCCCGGAGCCGAACTGAAAAAACCTAACTGAAAAAACCTAAAAAACCTAAACTCGGGAACTCCTTCAGAGAGATATCCATGACAAGACTCTCAAGATTTAGGTGTCTTAGGTTTTTTCAATTTTTTCAATTAAATTTTTTCAGTTAGGTTTTTTCAATTAGGTTTTTTCAGGTATTTTTTTTCAGTTACGCTCTCGCAACTCGGACACTGCCAGACGAGGTTCTTGGTGCGCACAGCCAGACTAAAAGCTTCACTCAACTCCTCAGTGAAGACAAGGCAACAGAAGTTAGAGCCATAGAGTACAGGAGATGAGCAAAGCCGAAAACCAGTATCCTACATTGAGGACACTTCGATGCGGAGGGGGGGACTCATCGGAAAACAGCCTCAACAGAAGGTAGTACCACGTAGGACAAGCCCCCTCCTAAAGAGAGATCTTCTTGATCTCATTGTACAATCTACGGCTTAGCCGAGACAAGTAATCCCAGGATCGATACAGATGGGATACAGCACTATAGCACAAAGGAACTACGACGGCTCAGGGCGGTTCAGTACTATAGTACAGAGGAACGACGACGGCTCAGGGGGGTTCAGTACACGTGCACGTTGAGAAAAGCTATACGGGAAAGTCACTGCAGTTGTGTCTATTTGCCAGGCTCGAAGTTGCGCAGACCACATATCCCAGACAGGTACATGGGCCCGACTCTCCGTGATTTTCTGAAATAGGCAGAACTGAAGTGAAGCTGTCCGGGTGTAGACCTGGTTCTCTTGTTTGTGGAGGTACACCCAGGTCATGTCAGTCTGGGTGCTGTCGGTGAAAGGGAACAAAGGCCCGACTTGCTGAAGAGCTACCCGTTGTTCTTTGACCCAGACGGCTGTGCTGTTTCAGTCACCGTGTGACCAAAATGGGCTTCGCTCACAATGCTGATCGCCTTCATGATCCACATGAAAGGTCAAAGCCAGCAAAGGTTTCACCAGCAGACTGGGCCAAACTCCCAGGTAGCATAAACCCAGCAAATCCAACGTCAGACTCATCAGAATGCCAGCCAGAGAGCCAGAAGCACAAACCCACATCTGCAGCAGTCGGTGTCGGGTCTGTCCAACAGTCACCCGAAGAGCAGTGCGCGAGTTTCCAGGGCTAAGCAGCATGCAGGAACCAGGGGTGCCATAGCTGCGCCGCAGGGTCGCGGGTTAGTGGTTTGCCTATTGGAGGGTGGGCCAGGGACACTAGAAACCACGAAGGCTGAGTTTACAGATTAAGGAAAAATTTACAGGGAGGAGATTTGGAGGGTTTGGTGCGTCAGTCAAGGCATCGCATCGAATTCATCTCATCATCAGCAGGAAACAGAAGACAAGGAGAAGGTCAAGGGCAGTACAGTAAGGCGCGCAGTCCAGCAGAGTGCAAAACAAATTCAAAGTTCAGGACAAGGTGCAAAAAGGGCAACTGAAATCAGCTTGCAAACCAAGGTGCAAAAACGAATTCTGAATTCTGTCCGAGTTGCAGGCACGTGAGAACTTGCAGCCAGGTTGCCGAGTCACTAACTTCGGACTAGTGCTGACCACTGCAGACCAATGCGGCAGGTCGCGGTTACTCCCATAGACCCTCTATAGGTGCAGGGCTCAAAATGAGGCCGAAACAAGGTAGGTGCGTATGAAGACCGAAGTACACCAAGGACTCAGCTGTACAGTCTAGGCGTCCCCAACCATCCATCACACATAGACGGACAAAGTCGTTGTCATTATCCCAAGCCCAAAGTGGTAGGGGTTCATCGTTAGTGGTGTCAGGGTACAGGGATAGGACTCTATCAATAGATTCAAGGTAGAATTGCAAAGTATGTAGACGAGTATAATACCACCACCAAGCTGTACGACTGCCCCGAATAATGTCCCTGAATTCTTTGGCAACCCAGGAAGCAAGGTAAGGCGGCATGCACTCCAAATGGTCAGTCAGTTCCTGTACCGTAAAAGGCGCGAACGGCCTAAGGTGTGCAGGTTGGTTCACCGTCAAGCCATCATGATCAACCACCAGCGCCATCTTACACGGGAGGTGGGACCTAGTGCTGATAGGTTTGAACCTAAAGAACATCGGTTTCCTGACTTTCCAAGACTTCAATGACGTCATGTTGATCTACCGTTGTTGCCGGCAAGGATAAGGCTTCACGTAAGGTGACCTGTTTGAATCTTGGGAGTGAGCAGCATCCGTTTCCAAAAAGTGCTCGATGTACCGCATTTGGGCTGGGGATCGGGAAGCCTAATCGCAAAAGGGCACCCCTCACTTCTTCCGACAAAGAACAACAATGAATCGAAGTGAAGGTGACCAAGGAAACTCTATCGTCCGCCTTAGTGTGGGCCCCAAGAAAGCCAGCATGTAATCTACATCTAGCGTTGAAGATGTAGGGGACATAATTTTTTTCAGTTAGGTTTTTCAGTTAGGCTCCCTAAACCCCCAAACCCTTGCCCTGGGCCTTTGAAGAACAACTGTGTAACGACGTTGTCGACGGCGCGTACATGAAGCCAACAAACGGTGGATCCATGGGGGGGTGGGCACCATATAATTATATATATATATACATATATATATATATATGTATGTACATGTAAATGTACATGCAGATGTATGTGCAAATGGATGTATACGTATACGTATACGTATATGATCGTATATGTATCCGTTTATCTAATGTGGTTTCGTTGGGGTTCTTGTGTCGCGGCTTCTTTCCTTCTACTCTTCCTCCCTTACGTCCCGACTTCCGTTGTGTCCTTGCACCCTTGCTTCCTTCCTTCCTTCCTCCCTGCCTTCCTTCATTCCTGCCTTCCTATCTTCCTTTCTTCCATTTTTCCCTCACTACCTTCCCGCCTTCATCACTTCCTTCCTGTCTTTCTTCCTTTCTTCCATATGTTCTTGTCCTTACTTCCTTCCTTCCCTCCTGCCCTCGTTCCTTCCTTCCCTCCTTCCCTCCTACCTCGTTCCTGCTACACCCCGCGCACCCCCAAAAAAGACAAATACCAAACACCCTTGGATTCGAGGGGCTGTCCGACTGGACTCATCAAAATATGAATCAACATGTCGCGAACCTGTTGCGTTGCAAGCAAGCAACGTCCGCGCACTTCTTCCACCGAAGCGCCGTCTTCGTCTGCAGCACCTGCACGGTTCGCCAGTCCCGAAGCGGAACGCAGGCGAAGCGATGGCTTGCAAGGATGTGGAGGCAAGCTTGCAGACTCTACTGAACCCTAAATGCCGTGTCAGCTTGCCCTAGCCGCAGGTTGTAAGAGCTTTCTGCGCAGACCAGTGCAAACCGCTGACACTTACGGCAAAGCCTTATCTCGCTGAGACGTGGCGATTCAGAAGATTGATTGGTACCATCGTCCGACTGATGTGTCACCCACTTTGTCTGCACGCTGATCCTTAGGTTCTGCAGCTCTGAAAATCTCTTCCAGTCACTAACTAGTGCAGCCTCGCGACACCGTGTCAAACTTCGGTGGGCCAGCCACGAAAAGCGCCACCCGTCCCTGCACACCAGCTGTGTATGGTGGCGCATGTCCAGGCCATTGCAAATGTTTTCAATGACGTCCCATCCTGCCTGCTCAATGCACACCTCACAAGGAGCCTGGCTGTCCTGGCATGGCGAAAGAGGGCGAAAGCAAAAAGCTTCTGGCAACAACTGAAACCCAGCCAAGAATCTGGATCCAAGACGAGGGAACGGCTGCTTGCGCGCCTGGAAACATCCACCGGTACATGCTTACTACGAGGCACAACAACCCTACAGCTGCAAAGGCTTTACAACTGCAGACTTCCACCTTGGCAACGTCTCATCGCCGTCTCGATCATGCCGTGCTCGCTCGAATCTTTCGAGCTCATTTCTTGCTGGCCTGGGGTATCTCGAGTTGAGCGATGCCACCGAGCAATTGTAGCTGTTCTCTCTGGCTTCTTTCAGTGACACAACCGTGTAAAATGTAAAACCTTCAGCCGTCGGCCAAGGCGCGTCGTAAGTCTCAGCAATGGCAAGATAATGAAAAAGTTGTGGTGGTAAATCCGCATCACAGGCATGGACTGCTGCTGCAACCTTGAGATACGGCCACACTCACCGTTACAGGGAACCACACAACGACGATCAACGACGGAAATCAATCCGGGAGCTGCATTGTGTCTTCCACCGGCAGGGGGTGAAGCTGATACTTCACTGCTAATCTGAGGATTGTGGCCTGAGGCGAGAAGAGGGGCTGGTGCATGTTGCATGCTCGCAGCAACTTCTAGTCTGTCGGTTGCAGCAATCCGAGCAAATCTGGCGCAAGCCTAACTCGCACACCAACATGCCGCGCCTTGCCCACATCGCTGCAGTGCACCCAGCCTTGATCTGGCTTTTGCAAATTCGCTTGCCGCACAGCAGTGCGAAAGGTACTCCACATTACTCCCCATCCGCTTCGTTAGCACTGTTGGTACACGAAGTGTGCAGCTGACACAGCAGAGCGATGCTGCCAAGCATCGCATCTTCATTGCAGGATGCCTGTGGCTGAGGAATATATCCAAATCATCCGTCCGTTCGAAGTAATTCTCCCGCACAGTCCTGTTTGGCAGCAAACGATCCGGGATGTACTGTCGAATTGTCAGCTCCGTAGATGAATAACCAGCCTTGGGTTCCAATCCTCGGTTCAAGGGGGAGTGATGTCGCGGATGCGGCAAAGGGCCAGCAGAGTCTCAAACTCCCTAGGGAGCCCAAAACCGCGAAATCTAAAAAAGGAACTGGGAGAAAACTCAGCTGAGGAGCAATGACTCCGACGAAGCCCCGCTCTGGCTCCAAAGGAGGACGAATTCGATCTCCAGATGTAATGTCCGGCAGGCTGCCGCAAAGCAGGTGCAACTTTAGCAACCGGAGAACCCTGCCAGCAAGCTGGAAGCCGGGTGCTTTGGCTTGAATGGAGGAATAGGAACATCGAATCAATCGAATCAGGACCTGTGGAAAGCGCGGACATCCACAGATTCCTGCGCTGCAACAGATTATGCGGGGAAAACATGTTGGTGCATCCTGAAGCCGACTTTCGGAAACGTGGTTCTGTGCAGCGCGCTCTCGGCCTGGATCTCGAACTACCATGGTTTTACAGCTTGCCAGCTTCGTTTAGAATAGAGAGCGTTGTTTCGGATATACTCCCCAAGCTCAATCGAGGAGATACCAGCTTCCGCTGGTTGCTGTCAGCCCCAAGTTGTCAACATCTGCCGTTTCCAAGCGCTGAGTCTGATTCACCCGAGAATTGTTTCCGATTCTCTGAAGGCAAGCCTGTCAGCGTGGTGAAATGAATGCGTTTCCACACTGAAACTGGGGCTTCTCAAAGCACTCTCAAGCTGAAGCAATTTCTATACGGCAACAACTATAAGTCTATACGACTACAAGTGGTGGGAAACAACAAAGAATCCAGGCTTTCATGGATGTCCTTCCCGAGCGAGCGCCTTGGATGAGATTCTCTTCTTGCCACTGTTTCCACGGTCTCCGGGTGACGTGACATGTGCATCGACAGAGGTGCTTGTCAGCCAGGGTTCCATAAAGCTTCGAAGACCGGACCCTCGAGTTTCGCAAATCCTGCACCATGCCACAAGCACAGAAATCACAGAATCCCCTCATGGAGACTTGTTCTTTGGGTTTGGTTGTTCCTCTCAAACAGAAGCTCATGACGGGTGGTGTGCTGCTGGGAAAGACACCATGGCCGGACTGCACCTGCCCATGGGCAAACAAGGCACTCCACGTTCGACTTGCGACTGCACATTGTGCGGCCATGCTGACAAAAAACCCATTGCAAAGCGGTGCAGACCAACTGCCTTATGGAGAGCCCGCTTCCCTTACATTCCCTCTTCACACTTGTCAGTCACCAGACACCCACCACAATTAATTTAGCAGAAGCTTCGGGTGCAGCGAGCCTTCCAACTCTAGGGCTTTCCGCAAGGAGTCCATATCCATGGTTGTGCCTTTGGTCCGAGTCCATAGTTTTCAATCTTTGAATCTCACGTGACCCAAAGCTTTTTCAAAGCAGAGCCCAAGCTAGGCGTCCGAGCGGCCATCATCTTCATGAATCCTCTTCTCTATATCACTGGTTGACCTCCTAAACGGCAGTGCTCGGGGGGAGTCCTCGAAACTGTTTCCTCGAGATGGGAGTCCTCAGACTGCAATGGTGCGAGAGAGCGGGAGGGGAGGCATCGGGTCCGTCTCGGTTCAGCAACAAGAGACCATCGCCGAGTATCTGCTGCAAGGGAGCTGCTTTCCTTGTGCCCGCGTCCACATGCGACCGGAGGACAACAAAGCACTCAATCAAGGAAAGGCTTATCGTTCTCAAGGCTCGTGATATCTGTTGGTCCAAGCCGGTGCTTGCTTCAAAGAGGCGCCTCACAGCTGCTGATGCGAAGCCGACATTTCAACAGAAATCCAGAAACTCTGTGAACCGATGATAGCTGTCTCCGAGTGTCATTGCATGCTCCAAGGTTGCATCGAAGACTGCGTGACCATCCGGGCCATCTATCTCTTTCAGCAAGCGCCCACCACCTCAGATCGAGAAGCAAACAGGCACATGGGCTGACCCCAAATTGCTCAGGGTGGTGGTCCAGCATCATCACCAAGCCGGCTGAATGAAAGAGCAGGGCAGGCGGACAATGTCACAAGGGCGTGCCAAGTGCCGCACAAGTTGCAGGCTTGGCACACCATCCAACAGCGACCGAAAGACGAGACACATGTCTGATATTTATATCTATATGTAACTGTCTGCATCCACGAACTACGAGATGTGCTGCTCTGGAGGCCCTGCATGCTGAGACCGAGGCATTCGCATGCCATTCTCGCAAATATCTGAGGGGCCAACTCAAGCTCCGAACGCAGAACCCACAGTGCAAGTACCGGCTACTCTCTTGGCAGGGTTTGCACCTGGTTGGGCATCTGGTTGGGCAAGGATTCTGGGACCTGAACATTGAGATCAGACATGAACTCGTATCCGGTGCAGCACGTACGCTCAAATCATCCCCAGATGTTGAACCATGAGTTACGTTTGGCTACTGAGAATATGTGAAGCTGGCCTGGAGGTACTCTTTATCTATGTCCTCGACCGAGCCACAGGCGCAGGAGCTCTTTTCGGCATCAGTCGCAAAGTAGAGACCGCCTCATGTCTTCTTCTGTCTTCTTCCGAAAATCTCGAAAGAATGTCAGAGAAGGTCGTGCTCCGAGCAGTCCTAGCGCGTCACGGGCACGTTGCTCGTCAGGCTGAAAGGCGGTGTATCTTCGGCCAGTAGCGGCTCATCCAGCCGCCCAGCTGCATCCATCCCTGTCGACGCATACCATGCAACACACGCAGATGCCAACATGGACCAAAAACGCAAGCTCTAGCCGCGCCCAAAATCAAATGTGCCCTTGTTTCATGATACTCTTTGGGCTTCTTGCTGTGCCAACTCGCTGAGGACTCGCGGACGCACGGACTTGCACATGCTCGGGCCTTCTCAGCAGCATAGTCGCTGGATGTTGGCACTCGAGCATAAAAACAGCATAAAAAACCGGATAGGATAAACAGCTGAAGCATGCGGCAACATCGAAACGATCCTCCCTTGAATGCTTGCAGCATGCGCTCGCGGCCTCGCACGGTAGCTTCCAGTATCCTGGCATCACATGAAAAGGGGGACCCTTTCTCGGGGCCCCCAATCACTTGCGCCCCCCCCGAATCCATCATCTGTGCCCCCCCCCCCCGGGCCGGGTATGGGCTCCACACCGACCCCCAAAACAGTCGGGCACGCCCGGACAAGCCCGGACAGCCCGGACAAGCCCGGACAAGCCCGGACAAGCCCGGACAAGCCCGCACAAGCCCGGACAAGCCCAGACAAGCCCGGACAAGCCCGGACAAGCCCGGACAAGCCCGGACGGACAGCCCGGACAAGGGCCCGGACAGCCGGACAAGCCCGGACAAGCCCGGACAAGCCCGGACAAGCCCGGACAACGGACAAGCGGGACAGCCCGGACAAGGGGGGCGACAAGGGCCCGGACAGCCGGACAAGCCCGGACAAGCCCGGACAACGGACAAGCCAAGACAAGCCCGGACAGGTTAGACACTTAGGGTTTTTGTCTACTCCTTTTAGGGTTTCGTTCTGGGTTTAGTCCTTTAGGGTTTCGTTCTGGGTTTACTCCTCTTACGTTCTGGGTTTACTCTTTTTAGGGTTTCGTTCTGGGTTTACTCCTCTTAGGGGTTGGGCCGATTACTCCTCTTAGGGGTTGGGCCTTCTTTCATTAGGGTTTCGTTCTGGGTTTCCTCTTTTAGGGTTTCGTTCTGGGTTTACCCCTCTTAGAAATTGGGCCTAATCACTTGCGCCCCCCCCCCCCGACCCGGGCCGGGTATGGGCTCCGCGCAGACCCCCAAAACAGTCCTGCCCAGACAAGCCCGGACAAGCCGGACAGCCCGGACAGCCCGACAAGGGCCCGGACAGCCGGACAAGCCCGGACAAGCCCGGACAAGCCGGGACAGCCCGGACAAGGGCCCGGACAGCTGGACAAGCCCGGACAAGCCCCGACAACGGACAAGCCAGGACAAGCCCGGACAGGTTAGACACATAGGGTTTTCGTCTACTCCTTTTAGGGTTTCGTTCTGGGTTTACTCCTTTAGGGTTTCGTTCTGGGTTTACTCCTCTTACGTTCTGGGTTTACTCTTTTTAGGGTTTCGTTCTGGGTTTACTCCTCTTAGGGGTTGGGCCGATTACTCCTCTTAGGGGTTGGGCCTTCTTTCATTAGGGTTTCGTTCTGGGTTTACTCTTTTAGGGTTTCGTTCTGGGTTTACCCCTCTTAGGGGTTGAGCCTTCTTTCATTAGGGTTTCGTTCTGGGTTCACTCCTTTGGGTTTACTCTTTTTAGGGTTTCGTTCTGGGTCTACTCCTCTTAGGGGTTGGGCCGATTACTCCTCTTAGGGGCTGGGCCTTCTTTCATTAGGGTTTCGTTCTGGGTTTACCCCTCTTAGAAATTGGGCCTAATCACTTGCGCCCCCCCCCCCCGACCCGGGCCGGGTATGGGCTCCGCGCAGCCCCTCAAAACAGTTTTGCCTCAGACAAGCCCGGACAAGCCGGGACAGCCGGGACAGCCCGGACAGCCCGGACAAGGGCCCGGACAGCCGGACAAGCCCGGACAAGCCCGGACAAGCCGGGACAGCCCGGACAAGGGCCCGGACAGCTGGACAAGCCCGGACAAGCCCCGACAACGGACAAGCCAGGACAAGCCCGGACAGGTTAGACACATAGGGTTTTCGTCTACTCCTTTTAGGGTTTCGTTCTGGGTTTACTCCTTTAGGGTTCGTTCTGGGTTTACTCCTCTTACGTTCTGGGTTTACTCTTTTTAGGGTTTCGTTCTGGGTTTACTCCTCTTAGGGGTTGGGCCGATTACTCCTCTTAGGGGTTGGGCCTTCTTTCATTAGGGTTTCGTTCTGGGTTTACTCTTTTAGGGTTTCGTTCTGGGTTTACCCCTCTTAGGGGTTGAGCCTTCTTTCATTAGGGTTTCGTTCTGGGTTCACTCCTTTGGGTTTACTCTTTTTAGGGTTTCGTTCTGGGTTTACTCCTCTTAGGGGTTTGGCCGATTACTCCTCTTAGGGGCGTTGCCTTCTTTCATTAGGGTTTCGTTCTGGGTTCACTCCTTTTAGTTTACTCTTTTAAAGTTTCGTTCTGGGTTTACTCCTCTTAAGGGGTTGGGCTTTCTTTCATTAGGGTTTTGTTCTGGGTTTACCCCTTTCAAAATTTAGGGTTTCGTTCTGGGTTTACCCCTCTTAGGGGTTGGGCCTTCTTTCATTAGGGTTTCGTTCTGGGTTCACTCCTTTTAGTTTACTCTTTTAAAGTTTCGTTCTGGGTTTACTCCTCTTAAGGGGTTGGGCTTTCTTTCATTAGGGTTTTGTTCTGGGTTTACTCCTTTCAAAATTTAGGGTTTCGTTCTGGGTTTACTCCTCTTAAGGGGTTGGGCTCTCTTTCATTAGGCTTGTCCGGGACAGCCGGGACAGCCCGGACAAGGGCCCGGACAGCCGGACAAGCCCGGACAAGCCCGGACAAGCCGGGACAGCCCACAAGGGCCCGGACAGCTGGACAAGCCCGGACAAGCCCCGACAACGGACAAGCCAGGACAAGCCCGGACAGGTTAGACACATAGGGTTTTCGTCTACTCCTTTTAGGGTTTTTTTCTGGGTTTACTCCTTTAGGGTTTCGTTCTGGGTTTACTCCTCTTACGTTCTGGGTTTACTCTTTTTAGGGTTTCGTTCTGGGTTTACTCCTCTTAGGGGTTGGGCCGATTACTCCTCTTAGGGGTTGGGCCTTCTTTCATTAGGGTTTCGTTCTGGGTTTCCTCTTTTAGGGTTTCGTTCTGGGTTTACCCCTCTTAGGGGTTGAGCCTTCTTTCATTAGGGTTTCGTTCTGGGTTCACTCCTTTGGGTTTACTCTTTTTAGGGTTTCGTTCTGGGTTTACTCCTCTTAGGGGTTGGGCCGATTACTCCTCTTAGGGGCTGGGCCTTCTTTCATTAGGGTTTCGTTCTGGGTTTCCTCTTTTAGGGTTTCGTTCTGGGTTTACCCCTCTTAGAAATTGGGCCTAATCACTTGCGCCCCCCCCCCCGGACCCGGGCCTTTTATTTACTCGCGCAGGTTTCAAGCCAAGCCCGGACAAGCCGGGACAGCCGGGACAGCCCGGACAGCCCGGACAAGGGCCCGGACAGCCGGACAAGCCCGGACAAGCCCGGACAAGCCGGGACAGCCCGGACAAGGGCCCGGACAGCTGGACAAGCCCGGACAAGCCCCGACAACGGACAAGCCAGGACAAGCCCGGACAGGTTAGACACATAGGGTTTTCGTCTACTCCTTTTAGGGTTTCGTTCTGGGTTTACTCCTTTAGGGTTTCGTTCTGGGTTTACTCCTCTTACGTTCTGGGTTTACTCTTTTTAGGGTTTCGTTCTGGGTTTACTCCTCTTAGGGGTTGGGCCGATTACTCCTCTTAGGGGTTGGGCCTTCTTTCATTAGGGTTTCGTTCTGGGTTTCCTCTTTTAGGGTTTCGTTCTGGGTTTACCCCTCTTAGGGGTTGAGCCTTCTTTCATTAGGGTTTCGTTCTGGGTTCACTCCTTTGGGTTTACTCTTTTTAGGGTTTCGTTCTGGGTTTACTCCTCTTAGGGGTTGGGCCGATTACTCCTCTTAGGGGCTGGGCCTTCTTTCATTAGGGTTTCGTTCTGGGTTTACTCTTTTAGGGTTTCGTTCTGGGTTTACCCCTCTTAGGGGTTGGGCCTTCTTTCATTAGGGTTTCGTTCTGGGTTCACTCCTTTTAGTTTACTCTTTTAAAGTTTCGTTCTGGGTTTACTCCTCTTAAGGGGTTGCGCTTTCTTTCATTAGGGTTTTGTTCTGGGTTTACTCCTTTCAAAATTTAGGGTTTCGTTCTGGGTTTACTCCTCTTAAGGGGTTGGGCTTTCTTTCATTAGGCTTGTCCGGGACAGCCCGGACAAGGGCCCGGACAGCCGGACAAGTCCGGACAAGCCCGGACAAGCCGGGACAGCCCGGACAAGGGCCCGGACAGCTGGACAAGCCCGGACAAGCCCCGACAACGGACAAGCCAGGACAAGCCCGGACAGGTTAGACACATAGGGTTTTCGTCTACTCCTTTTAAGGTTTCGTTCTGGGTTTACTCCTTTAGGGTTTCGTTCTGGGTTTACTCCTCTTACGTTCTGGGTTTACTCTTTTAGGGTTTCGTTCTGGGTTTACTCCTCTTAGGGGTTGGGCCGATTACTCCTCTTAGGGGTTGGGCCTTCTTTCATTAGGGTTTCGTTCTGGGTTTCCTCTTTTACGGTTTCGTTCTGGGTTTACCCCTCTTAGGGGTTGAGCCTTCTTTCATTAGGGTTTCGTTCTGGGTTCACTCCTTTGGGTTTACTCTTTTTAGGGTTTCGTTCTGGGTTTACTCCTCTTAGGGGTTGGGCCGATTACTCCTCTTAGGGGTTGGGCCTTCTTTCATTAGGGTTTCGTTCTGGGTTTACTCTTTTAGGGTTTCGTTCTGGGTTTACCCCTCTTAGGGGTTGGGCCTTCTTTCATTAGGGTTTCGTTCTGGGTTCACTCCTTTTAGTTTACTCTTTTAAAGTTTCGTTCTGGGTTTACTCCTCTTAAGGGGTTGGGCTTTCTTTCATTAGGGTTTTGTTCTGGGTTTACTCCTTTCAAAATTTAGGGTTTCGTTCTGGGTTTACTCCTTTGGGGTTTGGTTCTGGGTTTACCCCTCTTAGGGGTTGGGCCTTTTTTCATTAGGGTTTCGTTCTGGGTTTACTCCTTTTAGGGTTTCGTTCTGGGTTTACTCCTCTTACGTTCTGGGTTTACTCTTTTTAGGGTTTCGTTCTGGGTTTACTCCTCTTAGGGGTTGGGCCGATTACTCCTCTTAGGGGTTGGGCCTTCTTTCATTAGGGTTGCGTTCTGGGTTTACTCTTTTAGGGTTTCGTTCTGGGTTTACCCCTCTTAGGGGTTGAGCCTTCTTTCATTAGGGTTTCGTTCTGGGTTCACTCCTTTGGGTTTCCTCTGGGCTTGTCCGGGCGTCCGGGCTGTTGCCCGGGCTGATCTTCGTGACTGTCCGGGCTTCAGAGGGGCTTGTAAGGCTGTTGTCCGGGCTGATCGTCGTGACTGTCCGGGCTTCCTGTGGGCTTGTCCGGACTGTTGTGCGGGCTGGTCGTCGTGACTGTCCGGGCTTCCTGTGGGCTTGTCCGGGCTGTCCGGGCTGTTGCCCGGGCTGATCTTCGATGGGCTTGTCCGGGCAGATCGTCGTGACTGTCCGGGCTTCCTGTGGGCTTGTCCGGCCTGTTGTCCGGGCTGATCGTCGTGACTGTCCGGGCTTCCTCTGGGCTTGTCCGGGCTGTCCGGGCTGATCTTCGTGACTGTCCGGGCTTCAAGGCTGTTGTCCAGGCTGATCGTCGTGACTGTCCGGGCTTCCTGTGGGCTTGTCCGGACTGTTGTCCGGGCTGATCGTCGTGACTGTCCGGGCTTGTGCTGTCCGGGCTGTCCGGGCCGTCTTGGTCCAAGGAATTCAGAATGGTGGGCGTCAGCGGGGGGGGGGGGGGGGGGGGGGCAGGGCCTGGTTGGGGGGGGGGGGGCAGGGTCGATGGGAATGGGGGGGGCAGAAATGACAGTGCAACCATTTCTCGCCGCCCAGTTTCAGTAGAACATAGCAAGACCTGACTCTGCATCCCAACATGACACCATGCAAGGCTCCGCCTAGCACAGCACATGGTGCTGGAAGTTTCACCACCCAGCCATGCCGAAATGGCCTTGCGAAGGCTTTGCATGAGGTGCGCCAGTCACGAATCCGAATACCAGACTAACTGCCTCGCCATCAACTCCGGAATCTTTCAAGGTCCCAACTCCTTCAGCAGCAAAACATGTGAAGCTTACCCCACGAAATCATCTCAGAACGACTCTCCTTCACGGTGGGGTTTACCCAAACATCTCTCCCACGCATTTGAAAGCTCTGCCGCAGCACTGTGTGCACGGCTCCTCGTGCACCACTGCAGTACTAGGTGTGCAAATGAGCTCACTGTCTGATGTGGCGGATGCAAGAAACTGGTGCCTTGGAGGCAATCGCAGAAGCACGTGTGTGCTTTCATGCGCCTTGGGCCAGCACAAGGCATGTCGCCCCGATTGCTCCGGCACCGTCCGAGGCGAAGCATACATCACATGTCCGAGCCGTCAACTGGAAGCTCTCCGTCCACTTGCAACTGGCCAAGCGGCTTCGTGTTTCCTGCACAAAAGCGAACACTTAAATGTCATGCTTGAGCAAACCATGCGAACCAAGCGGCTGGGCTCGCTGGGCTTGCAGGAAGAAAGACACAGCGCTGAACATTCATTGGGCGAGGCAGCCTCTGCAGCATTAGTCCAGGAGTGCTAGGGAATTGTATAGAATGACTTAACAGATGAACACGTCAGATTAGCCGCTTCCAAGCCACGCTCTGACGTCGCAGACTAGACGGGTGGCCTTGACCGCGAATCGGTTCACATTACTCATGTGTGTATATATATATATATATATATATATGATTTCTGCCGTCTGCTTGGGTCTGGGAAGCCGACTTTCTGTCATGTCCACAGTGTTTTGATCGATCCAGGTGCCGTCCGGGCCATCGACAGAGCTGACCACACCTTCTCGGCCACTAGTCCAAGCGAGCAATCATACAGAAGCACAACGAGGTGGGCGGGCCTTGCAGGTCAACTTCCTCGTCTTCCTAGCACGGAAGCGCGTGCAATCTGCTTCAGCTGGCGCTCTCTCTCTGCCAACATCGATAGCCTAAAATGCTGCAAGATGCTGCAAGGAACGTGTTACCGCCAGCCTCCGGCATGCTGCTGATAAGCTGCATGAAGCGTTCCTGGGAGATGTCTGCGACGGCTTTACGTCTCTCCTCTGAGCAAGACGTGGATGCAGGATCAGCGTCAACAATCCGAAGAACTCAACACGACTCTGCATACCACTTGCGGAAAAGGCAGGGTCCTCTGGTGAGGCGTTCTGCAGTGCATGCATGAGCGAGCCTTGCACAACTGCCGAAAGCCATGACATTCTCACGAGACTCCTGCATCTCGGCTCAGCACTGCACTGCTCGGGATGTGTGTGTGGCACAAAGGGGGGGGCAACTCAGCAGATGCTGCTCAGGCCAATGCCAAGAGTTTCGCTGCCCGATTCTGATCGAGTCCTTCCGCATCAAAGAAAGCAAAATCATTCAAAACCTTCGCAGGACATAACCCGATGCTTGTGTCGGGCCTGGCTACAGGCTCCGAGCTGGTGCTGCTTTCCTTGCACGAGAATTCAGACATCAAAGTATCAAATCCATACAAGAACTAAGCACCAGCCTCCCACGGACTCAGCTCCACCTCCTCCGAGTCGACCAGCTCCTGGAGCTCACAAGTCTCTGTTAAGGCCGTCGCCGTCATCCCTCGGAGCTTGTGCCAAGGACAGACCTTGCCATGCAAATCACAACCGGCCAGTGACGTCGCCAGCCTGTCGTCAACTTTTGCACCGAATACCCAGCTCCGGAACGAACACAATAGCAGCAGCATGCAGCAGCGTTCAACTTTCTCCCAGCACGGCTTCGTCTCAAATCGTGCGGATTCAGCGCTTGGCAAGGCGCTGGAAACAGGCATAGCCCATGACCACCAGGAAGAAGGCACAAAGAAGAAACCTGAGTGTCACTCAAGAAGCCCTGCGGCGAAGCCATTAGCCATTATTAGCTCATAGTGGCACTGTCCTTCAAGAGTCCATAGGTCAAGCCAAGCAGCATCAGGTTGCTCGCAAAATATACCCAGAACGCAGCATCCTTCCTTGCGGTGATCTCTTTGATAGGATCGACCGTCCACTCAAAAAAGAGCGGGTGAACGGAGCGCAGATGGTACATAAATTCTGCATCCTCCACGGCGAGCCTAAAATTGTAGTCCTCCTCCCGGCTTAGTAACCGAAGGCCACCTCGTGCTCCTGAGGAGTGTGAAGCTCCACAGGTGAAGTTGCTGCCGCCATCAGAGCAACAATCAGTTCCCGCGGCCCACAGATCGTACGTCGCAGGGAGTGGCTGATCAGCGGCAGCAATGATGGGCACCACACAATACATTTTCATGGAAGAGTTCTGGTGCCTGACATGCCAAATGACAAAAGGGGCAGCAAAGCCAGAAAGGGAGAATGGCAAAGCAGTTAAAAGCTTGTGCATCCTATTTTGCTAGTGCTGTCTTGCTGCGCCATGGCATGCTTCAGCTGCAAAGTTGAACCCTTCACGAAAATCACACGACCCGCATCAAGCAGCTGCTTCCCTGCTGCCCGTGACGGGTCGACGTTGTCGTAGCTGTCGAGGTTGGAAATGTCATAGTAGCCCTTCATGTATTTCGTGAAGATCATAGAACCCACTACTGAACCAGCAACGAAGGCGATCAAGGACAGTACTGCGAGTGCCGCCCACCATGCATAGCCCCGCATGAAACGGGGATGATTGTCTTCCCTGCCGCCCTTTTTCAGCCACCGTCCTCTGGAGAGTAATGCTGCCACCACTGTGAGGAGCACCAGCATCGCTGTGCCGACAATCATTACGTGGCTTAACCATGGATACAGATAGACTGCCAGTGACATCAGCCCCCAACTGAGTGACGCAAAGATGGCCCAAGGCATGAGAACCAAGAGGGCAAGCTGTGCCGTGCTCAGAATGAGCAGTCGGCATGTCATCGGTTCAAACATCCGTTCTTGCCAGTTGGCACTTCCATATTCTGCGGGCTTGGTATACACGGAGGAGTACGGGTTCATCAGCCCGTGCTGTAGATGATCAGGCACGGGACAAGTACGCAATCGGATTGAATCTTGAGCCAGGCTGTGGCTTTTGCACAGAATCATTCCGCATGATCAACACACTGGTATGCTGCAGCACCTCACTCTCGGGAACAGGCTGGGAGCTAAGCGCTTGCGTTTTCGCCAAGTGCGATTCCAAGAGCTCCTGCAACGCACTACTGTTCGCTGTCATTAAACTTCTGCTGGCTGGAGAGACCGTGGCCTTCTGTCGTAAGAGCACGTGCAGCTCGTCCTCGCTTTGATTGCGGGCCGTATGCGGAGTTGCGGCAACAACCGTGCTCTGGGAGTCCCGCCTGAAGTTCTGCAGCACAGCCGCTAGGCCCATCCATCAATGAATCCGAGCTGGAAGATCCTGGCGCCCGCACCCCCACCCACCCCTCAACGCGAAATGCAAATCTTTCATCGCGTATCAGTCCAACGTCGCTGCAGCAATCGTCGCTGATATCCTTCAGCACATTCCACATGCACATGCCGACTGCAACGGGTCGCCTGCCTGGACATCGGTTCGTGGGATGCCACCTTCATATCACGCCCGCTCTGTGACAGCGGCTGACACCGCGGATTGGTGTCACAGCACTCAACTCTCCACACACTGTCTGCATCGTTTGTTTTTACTCCAATTCTGCCTGCAAGCTCTTCAGAAGAGAATGCTTGCTTCATCTGGGCAAGGTCGCGCTCCAGGGCGGCAATGTAAGCCTCACATGGGATGCTTACCTCAACATGACCTACGCCCGAAAAACGATAAGTATCATTGCCCTATCATTAGAAGCTCAGCACGAAATCCGCCCAGGAGGGGGTGGTGGGCAGTATTGTCGTTTTTCCCCAACACCTCTTCTATGGCCATCCACTTCGCTGGCCGGTCGAAGTGAAGCAATACACCTCGAAAGAGGCCCTGTGTCACGATGTAGCAGTCATCCTGAGGGGAACCTGTCGCCATGCCATCGAGTCGCCATGGGAGGAGCATGCCATGAAAGTGCAAGCCGAGACCGACAGCTCGAAGCCGCATGCAGCAGTGACGATGCGGGAACACAATTCGGATGGGACTGTCAAGGATGGGTTGACTCTGTTGCAGGGCGCAGGTCTAACTCGTTACAGGAGGAAAGCCGATCGACAGCAAGAATCGTGATTTCGCAAAGCAGCGCATGCACGCCATGATCACACTCGACGTGTTTGAGCTGCAGGATAAGCACGAAGCAGACAGCGTGCTTGATCGACTTCAGACGAATTTCCGGTGAACTTGAAGCTACAGAAGAAGGTCCTTGCCATGAGCAGCAAGATTCCCAAGAATAAGTTGATCGTGATTCCGTGCAGCATCCAGGTGCCGGAAGGCTGCTTCGAGATCAGGCAGCCTTTAGCCACGGCGGAGGCTTTCACTTTTGGTCCTCTCCCGTGTTGGTGCTGCCTACGGCTGAGGGGGATGAAAGGCTTGCCAATGTGGCTTTGATGGTCAGTCCAGACCACACACGGGCAGGAGGTAAGCAACATGGAGGTCACGTACGTCAAAAGTCAAAGGAACAGCTATGTGCTCTTGCCAGTCCTGAAGGCTGCGTTCTAAATCGCAGAGGAGAAAAACTTTGCACGCAGAAGTCCGGGGTTGAAGTGCCGGTCGTGCCTACGCCGCTACGAGGACTCCCAGACCGACCCGACAAGAGGCGGCCGGAGAGAACGGCCGGAGAGAGATGTCCTTGAACGACCCTGAGACACAGAAGTGGAACCATCATGATCATAGTCTCAACATGGGAGAACACATAAAACACACACAGAAACAATGTAAGAGCATCTATGGACAAAATCATCAATGCCCCTCTCAGTCAGAGAATGAATCTGGGATCCACATTCACATCTCACACAAAGACGCATCATGACAGATGGTGGCAACAAACACGACATTGAGCTGGATTTGTGACGCGGTGGTCCCAGCTAGGGTCCTGAATCCTTGATTTTTTTTTTAGGCAAGAATATGGAAACAATATGAAACTGAAGATTTCGGGAAATATGCAAAAAATATGCATGCATTGTGCTTGGATTCGAGGATTAGTTTCATCAATGCGCTTTGGCTTCAGGCTCGCCTCGGTGCAACAATGGCTTGTTGAACATTGCCGCAGACCAGCAACAGCACATCTAATTCCGTTTGTGCCTGGCAGGTAGCTGCGGGGAGCGTCAGCTGAGGGTTTCATCAACTCTCATGTCTGCACTCGTTGTAAAAGTGGTGAGCGAGGAGGGGAGGGGAGGGGAGGGGAGGGGAGGGGAGGGGAGGGGAGGAGGGGAGGGGAGGGGAGGGGGGTCGAGATCCGAAGCCCTCGGATTGAAAATTGGAGGGCGACCCTCAAGCCAAAGCCCTCTCTGCTGCTCGCCCACCCTCTTTCCAGACATTTCGCGTGATTTCGAGGAAATTACAGTTGCTCCTTGATTTTCCTAGCATTTTCATATGTTTTCCATATTACTTCCATATTTGTTCCAACATATTATTTCCATATTGGTTTTCATATTTTCCCATGCTTTTGCTACGTTTTTGCATACCTTTAAAAAATAGCAAAAATATGAAAAATATGAGAACAATATGGAAATAATATGGAAAAATATGGCCCGGAACGCCCCTCTCCAGAAGCGAGAGCCTTTCCGCTTCCAGCCCTGCCCTGGCCAGTCTCCTGCCCAAGCCCCCGTCCGGCATTGAACGCCGATACATCCATGACGACACAAATGAAAAGAGTAGCATGTACCACAACGATGTCTGTTACAACAGTGCGCGATTCTCCAACTCAGTGCTTCCCACATGCGTGCACATAATGCCCTGACTACACACTGTCCCTCTGTTCCACCTCTTCATCAAACCGTCGAAATGAACTGATTTACACACAGCTGCAGACGCAAGTTGAAGAGTTCCAGCGGCCATGTAACGCAGCATATTCGTGCGATTTTGGCGTATTTTTTGATTCATATTTTCTCATACTTTTACTATATATTTTACTTATCTAGGTTAGACTAGCTCCTGGCCGATGTTGGCGTCACAAAGCTAGATGTCACCTGCAGTATTCATAGCTGGGTTATGCTGGGTCTGTGCAACGGGTTGCCAATCTAAGCATAATTTGATCTCGAGTTTGCTGTCGCAAGGAGCAGTGTTGGCGTGGTTGGGAATAGCCCACACAATCCAAGAGTGCATGAGACAGAGAGTCAGGGCCATTATCGGCATGAGTGCAGCATCATACCGTTGCGATGACGTACAAACCGCCCTTCCAAAAAGTTTTGGAAAGGATAGTGTTGAATAAAGTCCACCCCATGGCTGTCCTGTCACTTGACGAATGCCAGGCTGGGTTTCGTTGCGGGCCGGACATTCAAACGTATTCACTTTTTGAAACACTGCACTTACGAATTTACGGCAAAGCACCCGCACCTACTGTGATTTCCTGGACATACGGAAAGCCTTTGACGTTGCGTGGCGTGACGCTGCCACGCGTTCACCGTGCAGAAGTCCACAGCGGTTTGTGGCATCTTGGTGATGACTTGGTCTGCATTCGAGCGTCAAAATCAACTGTGCCTTGATGTATTCGGATGATCCTGCAATCTTATGTAACCGATCCTGCGGACTTGCAAAAAGCCTTGGATGCAGCAACTGCTCGGGCGTCCTCATGGTGTTTCCATCCGGCCCAACAAGACGGCCGTCATGTGCTTCGGCCCAGGCCGATCCCAGTGCCGCGACATGAACTTCCACATTCAAGTAAACAGACAACGCCGTGAAGGTCTTGGGGACTCCACTCGGAACAGACGCGCTGGGCACCTTCACACCTTTTCTGCGCAGCACTGCACTTTCCTCGAAATGCTCCCCGCTCTCCCCAACCTCCTTGTTGTTGCTTTACTGCGCAAGCACGTGCTGCATTGCCTGGCCGGCCCTGCTGCGACAGGTCCATGGTGCCCCGGAGGAGCCGCTGCCCAACGTCGCTCTCCGCCGGGCCCATGTGCCGCTCCGCCACTGGAATCTCGGCCTGCGCAGTGCCGCTGCGCATGCCCCTGCAACCTGCTTTGCTTCATGGGCCGACTCGGCTCGCGCCATCAGAGCCCGCGATAACGCTTTCTGCGAAGATATCCTGCAACAGGTCGCTGATCCTGCATGCGACCGTCGCTGCCTAGCTTCGCAGCAAGGTGCAGTCGTCGTCCTGACCAACCACGGTCTGGGCGTGCCACCCTGGGGGGAGCTCGTCACAAAACCTCCAGCCCGTGCACTGCTCGGCTGCACTCCCAGGCAGATTTTCTTTTCGGTCGAGCCTACACCGCCCTCCCCATGTTTCCGGAGCTGCGCTTGGATTCAGCTGCGTGTCGTGTTCTCCTGCTCCGGCGACTCCGCCTTACACTGCTTCTCGATGCTGCCACTTGCCGCTGCGGCGCTGATGTTCTCTTTAACTGTTCGCAGTGCAGCGCGAAGCATTGCTCGCTAAAAGGATGCGGCAAGCGATGCCGAGCTAATCCCCAGAGCGTGGAGGGTGGGTGAAAATTTCTATGCATGCGATGCAAGCCACTGAACGCTAGTTGTGAGTGCTGATGCCGAAAGCAACGCGGAGCGGTTAAATTCTTTCGACATAGATTAAGAAAACACAGTTGAATCAAAAACACAAACTCACAACTGGCCTCCACCCCCTCGGCGATCAGAGGGCAGCCTGCCCACGCGCTAGACTCGTCCGCGGCCGAGGCAATCCGTTTGAACGAGCTGCCACTCGGATGTGCAGGGAAGCCGGAGCCACAGTCGCCGCAGATGTCCTTCTGCACGATCTCTCAACATCACCACCCGTCAGCACGACGACTAGCGAATTGAGGTTATCGCCAAACACCCTCGCCTGCGATCTCACGCGCAGGTCGACCGGAGGGCAGCATGCAAATGTGGTCCAGCTTGGGACGGGCCCCTCCGCATCCGCGAGGTCTTTCGCCTCCTCGCTGCTGTCGCTGCCCTTCCATGGCACCGCCACCGTCGATGGCCCGTATACCCGACCTGAGCGACGTGCTCGCGGAGCACCGACTCGACCACCCACCGCACGCCAGTCAGTTGCCAGCACGATGACGTGCCCTGGCGAGCAATAGTAAATGTACCCGTGGTAGGCTGCTGCACTGGGACCGCGTTGGGGTGTTTGCAAAAAGTGTGCTGGTTTATAAAAATATATTGTGGGATTCACGTACACGTATTTGGGCATTGGTTTGGTCGATGGGTTGACTGGGACATGTTATGGGAAGCACTTGCTGACCAGGGAGTTTCAGCACATTTGCGTTGGATTATACAAGTATACAGTGCCTGTATGCTAACCAACGGGGTGAAGTGATTGGGCAGTCTGGGCACAGCAG